TCCCACACCAAAAATCAATGGACGTCCTGGGTCTCAGGGTTTGGTTTCTTGTTGAAGGTTTCTAGTGGAAGGTTTCTTGTGCTCGAGCTCCTACTGGAAGGAGTGCAAATCGGTGCAGTCGGGCCGAGGTGTAGGATCGATGTCGGTTCGGGGAGGGTGCCCTGGTGTTCTTCGTGCTTGCCGGATGTTCTTGTGCAGCCTGGGGAGGGTACTCTTGGATGTCCTGTCTGTTTTGGCCGACGGAGGGTCTCACGTTCTTGCAAGATTTGCGTCTGGCCTGGGCCCGACTAAGGAGTGCAAAGAGGTACTGTGGGTTCGCGTCGTGTCGACCGGCCGATCTCGCCGCCGGCGTTCAGTGTTGAACGCCGCCGGCGACCCAGAATCGGTCCATGCGGAACGATCTGAAGTTTCGAGAACGGCCGATCGATCAAAGTTGAAACATCCCCGCGGTGTCAAAACCAACGCCGAAGTCGGCACGACACGAATTTGCCGTTGAGCCAGAGAGTTCGAAGAAGTGTTGGGCGAGAGGCCCGCTGTGAAGCAGATCTGCCCTCTACCCGTGGAAGTTCGGTACACTTTGAGAGTTCTGGTCGCAGATTTGCAGGAAGTCTCCAGCGAGAGCCCCATCTGGAAACGGGGACGCTCTCCATCCAACTGGTACACAATCTTGAACTTCGGGTCGAGGAGGAGATCTCCAGCGGGATATGCCCATTTTGAACACGAGCCGCCCTCCATCCGTTTAGCGGACGGTTGTGCAATTCAGAATAACAGGTCATGGAATTTCATGAAGTGCTTTTGCGGGAGCCCCATTCTGAAAACGAACCAACCTCTCTATCCATGTATTTGTTTGGGGCGTAAAACGGATGTGCACGGCGCTTCTGTGAGAGCCCATTTCGAAGACCATTAGCTTCCCATCCATGTATCTCTGTACGGTCGAGTTGGGCGCGGGAAGAATCGGGTCGAAGACCGACAGCAGTTCTTGTTCATTTTGAACAGGACTCGTTGTCGGTGTCGCCGCGGACGTTGCCAGTTTGAGACAAAAAGTCGCCTGCCCAACAGAGGGCGCTGTCGGTTCTGGGCAATCTTTCCTGTTTGGCATCGTACCCATGCTTTCCCGTACCCATTCGTCGTTGAAAGTAGGTATTTGTGGACTCCTGTATTCCAATCTATTTTAAGCGCCTTCCTATTTCGATGATCGAATGGCTTCACCGCTTCCGTTTTCTTCAGGTGGCGCGCGGCAGCCTAATCTATTTTCATTGCTTTCCTTTTTCATGCTCCTACCTATTCCTTCCGACCGATGGGTATCTATAGCGACAAGGGATGGGAGATAAGAGTGGGAGCATGAGGAGCTGGAGAGCCGATGAGCAGCGGAGGGGGACGAGAAGAGAGGAGGAGGGAAGAGATGAGCAGGAGGAGGAGAAGGAGGGGGGAGGACCAGGATGTGTCCAGGTCTCCAGAGTTCTTCAGAGGTCTGCGAGGATGGAGGGTGGGAGGGGGCAGGCCGAGGAGAAGGAGGAGATGGACAATGCAGGGAGGAAAGAGGAGCGAGGCCAGCATGAAGATGACGACGATGATGATGACGATGATGACGACGATGCAGGCGATGATGGTGGCGGTTGTGGTGGTGATGATGGTGACCGTGTTGACGATGGCAATGCTGAGGCTGCTGATGATGACGACGATGTGGATATACTCGCTGAGGCAACGCAGCAACGGTGCTGTTGACGGTGCTTGGGATGTTGTCGATCATTGATGCAGACGACGTCGATTTCGAGGGACAGTGGATTCGATGGTGATGATAATGAGGTAGATGTGGATTAGGAGGAGGAGGAGGAGGAGCACTTACGGGAAGATGAAGGAGATGAAATTATAAGGAAAATGATCATGCGGATGACAAGGTTGTGGCAGCATAAAGAACGACGGGTAGCACGAGCAAAACACCTTGGAGATCGGGCTGCGATACTGAGCTGGGTCGGATGATGCGCATGACCAGGTAAATGCAGGGAGGGGAGGCGGTGGAAGGGGCCAGGAGGAACGAATGGGTGAGGACGAGGACGAGAAGAAGGAGGAGCAGGAGGAGGATGAGGAGCAGGAGGAGGAGGAGGAGGAGCAGGAGGAGGAGGAAGAGGGGGGAGGAAGAATGTGCGGGATCGGAGTCGGCATGAAGCATCTTACTGAAGAACCGGGGCAGGACACTGTCATTCCAAAGCTCATTGAGATCTTGCCCACCATACCGTACCACACAGAGGGCTTCAAGGCCAGTGCTGGGCCTTGCCGCAGTTTTCTTCTGCACATCTGCTGGTTCGCTCTGGCAGCTCCTCCGACCTCCCCCTCTCCGCCCACCTCCCTCCTCCTTTCCTCGTCGTCCTCGTGAGGAGGAAGGACGATGGAGGAGTGATCATGATGAGGATGATGAGGATGCTGATGATGATGCTGATGAGGATGGTGATGATACTGCTGCTGGTGTTGTTGTTGATGATGATGATGATGATGATGGCGACCATGACGATGATGCTGATGCTGATGATGATGCTGATGCTTATGATGATGATGACGACGACCATGACGATGATGATGAAGATGCTGATGATTATAATGATGATTATGCGGATGCTGATGCTGCCGATGATGACGACGACCATGACGATGGTGATGCTGATGTTGATGAGGATGGTGATGCTGATGATGGTGCTGATGATGCTGACGATGCTGATGATAGTGATGATGAAACTTATGATCATGCTGATGATGATGATCATGATGCTGATGACGATTATGATGATGATGCTGACGGTGATGCTGCTGCTGCTGCTGATGATGATATTGATGCTGCTGCTGCAGCTGATGATGATGATGATGATGATGATGATGCGGATGATGATGTCGATGCTGATGATGCTGATGATTCTGATGATGCGGATACTGATGATGCTGATGATGCTGCTGATGCTGATGCTGACGATGACGATTATGATGGGGATGTTGATTATGATGCTGATGCTGATGATGATGCTGGTACTGATGCTGATGATGATGATGATGATGATGATGATGATGATGATGATGATGATGAGTATGATGATGACGGCGATGATGATGCTGATGCTGATGATGCTGATGAGTATGCTGATAGTGATGATGATGATGATGATGCGGATGATGCTGCTGCTGATGATGATGACTATGCTGATGGTATTGAATGTGATTATGATATTGATGATAATGACAACGGGGGGGATGAGGTTCAGGATAGTGTGGAAGATGCGGAATGAGGAGGAATCAGGAGGAGGATTGTGGAGGAACGAGGAGGAACGCAGGGGAACGAGTTTGGCGGAGGGCGTGCGCGCCCGCCCCCGCCTGTCGCGCCCGCCGTCGCTCGGCGCCGCCAGGACCGCCAAGGGAGGGGAGGATCACGCGTGGCAGCGGGGGTGATCTGCGACGTCTCGCTCTCTCGTGCCGTACAGTGGACACCCATGCCACGAAGCACCTTGTTGGCTTCCAGGGTCCCCTGGGTTTCTTGGGTTTCGATGGTTTCGCCATGGAACGCGTGACGTGCCCGCACCAACGATCCATTGGCGTGCTGGGGTCTGAGGGCTGGGTTTCCTGTGGACGGTTTCTTGTGGTGGTCGAGCTCCTACTGTCGGCCGTGGCAGCCCACGTACGTGCACATTTCCAGATCGCTGCGCCTTGAAGTCGGAAGCGGTCCCCAGCCAGGCGGATTGGGGCAGTGCGCTTCCTGGCCATTCCTTCCTGGGTGCACCGGCTCGCGGGACGTCAACCGACCACCTCGCCGATCCTGGCCTGGCCCACCTCGGGGCCCAGGATCGGCCCAGCCAGGATGGGTGGGGTGGCCAGTTGGCGTCCTTCGATGGCGTGGGGCAGGCGGTTCACCTCTCGTTCCATCGCGTGCGTCCTGCGGCTTTCGGGCCTCGAGGGCACATCGTTTCGCACTTGTACGGCTTGGGCCGACGGCTGTAATCGAGTACCAGCGCAGGGTGTGCAGACGTGAGGTGGGCGGGAGGGCGGGCGAATGATGATGCCGATGACGATACTGTCGATGATGCTGATGCTGACGCTGCTGCTGCTGCTGCTGATGCTCATGCTGATGATGATGATGATGATGATGATGATGATGATGCTGCTGACGATGCTGACGATGCTGATGCTGATCAGGATGATGCTGACGGTGCTTGTGCTGGTGATGTTGATGGTGATGATACTGAGTACGATGATGAAGACGATGCTGCTGATGATGATGATCATACTGCTGATACTAATGATGATGATTATGATGATTCTGCGGACGATGATGCTCTGTTGCTGATGCTGCTGCTGCTGACGATGATGATGCTGATGATGATGAGGACGATGAGGAGGAGGAGGAGGTAGAGGCAGATGATGAGGATGAGGATGCGGATGAGGATGCGGATGAGGATGCTCATGAGGATGAGGATGATGACTCTCATCATGGTAAGGATGATGATGCTGATGATGATGATGCTGCTGATGTCGATGAGGATGCCGATGATGATGATGATGAGGATGCTGATGATGTTGCTGATGCGGATGCTGATGCTGATGCTGATGCTGATGCTGATGCTGCTGATGATGATGATGCTGCTGATGATGGTGCTGATGATGCTGATGATGCTGATGATGATGCTGATGGTGATGATGATGATGATGGTGATGATTGAGGTGGTGGTGATGATGCTGCTGCTGCTGATGATGATGATGAGGATGCTGCTGATGCTGCTGCTGCTGCTGCTGCTGATGATGATGATGATGATGATGATGATGATGATGATGATGATGCTGTAGCTGACGTGGATGCGGATGAGGGTGTGGGCGAGTGAGGGAGAGGATGCGGAGGAGGGGGAGGAGGATGAGGGAGGGAGGGGGGAGGGAGGAACGGACGGAGTGACAGTGGGAGCAGGAGCTGGACGCATGAGGCGGTGGAGAAGGATGATACGTAGGAGGGTGTAGGGGAGCAGGAGGAGGTCGCGCAGGAGAGCAGGAGGAGGAGGATGCTGAGGAGGAGGAGGAGGAGGCGGAGGAGGAGGAGGATGATAAGGAGGAGGAGGTCCCCAGAAGCGCCACCTACATCACTATGCTCGATACCCTATGCTCGATCCTTCTCCCTCGAACTACCCAGCTGTGTGCGACAATTCCTGCCACCGTGCCTGGGTTGCGGGTGATACGCCTATTGCATGTTCGTTGGGGTCTTGTGATGGGGGCTCTCGGGGATCTCTTTGAACCAGTTTGGAGACCTCCTGGGGGCCGTTCTGGGGCCTCTTGGGGCCTCTTGGCACTTCTTGAGGGCCTCTTGGGGGCCTCTTGGGGGCTCCTGGGGGCCTCTTGTGGCGGAAGGCTCGGCTGTTCGGTTCGTGCTCCCTCTCTTTGGCCCCGTTTGGAGTCGTTGTGGGACCCCCGTGGGCCGTCTTGGGCCCTCTTGAACGCCTCTTGGGATGGTTTGGAGTGGTCCTGGGGGGCCTCTTGGGCCGTCTTGGAGCGTCGGACAGCCGAAGAGGTGAGACTGCCATCGTCCTTCAAACACCTGCTGCAACCCAATGAATGTGGGCCTCTTTGGACGTGTTGGAGGCCTCTTGGGCCATCTTGGGGCCATCTTGGTAGTCTTCGAGCGATCGTTCGGCGACTCGGGGCCCTCTTGGACCGTCTTGGGGGCCTCCTGGGCCGTCATAGACGCCTTGGAGAGCCCCAGAGGGCGCAATGGCCGCCCACGAGCCCCCCAGGAGTAGGGGCGATGCAGTCACGTGGGTGTGATTGCGAGGATGGGGGGGGGGTCCCTTAGAAGACTTGACAGAAACCTCGCCAGGCAGCCCTTGGCATTCTTCCACAGTGCATCTTGCCGCAGCCACGGTGGCGGACCCTCGATTCCAACCACGTCGATCCCTTTGATCCCCGACAGTTACTGATAGCATTCGATACTCGATCCCCCTGATCTGCTCGATCTCCTCGATCCCCGATCTCAGAGCATTGATATGCTTAAGTCTTCATCACAGTGATGATGATGACGATGATGCTGCTGATGATGATGCTGCTGCTGATGACGATGACGATGCTGACGGTGCGGATGCTGCTGCTCAGGATGCTGCTGCTGCTGATGATGATGCTGCTGATGACGCTGGTGCAGATGCTGATGTTGATGGTGGTGGCGAGGTTACGGTACTGATGCTGCTGCCCATGCTGATGACGGCGAAGATGATGAGGATGATGTTGATCATGACGGTGATGCTGATGTTGATGATGCTGCTGATGATGATGATGATGAGGATGCAAACGATTATCAGTATGCTGCTGCTGATGATGATGACAATACTCAATATGCTTATGCTGATGCTGATGGTGTTGATGCTGCTGCTGACGGTGATCCGGCTGCTGCTGCTGCTGATGCTTATGACCATGCTGATGATGCTGATGATGCTGATGATGCTGGTGATGATGATGCTGACGCTGATGATTATGATGATGTTGATGATGCTGGTGATGCTGATACCAAAAGTTGATGATGCTGCTGATGTAGACCATGATGCTGATTACGGTGATGCTGATGTTGATGATGAGGTTGATGATGCTATGATGATGATGATGGTGCTGATGATGCTGTTGATGCGATTGACCACGCTGGTGATGATACTGGTGATGATGATGACGATGCTGCTGACGATGCTGACGACGATGATGATGCTGGAGGTGCTGATGCTGATGCTGTCGATGTTGCCGAGGATGCTCTTGATGATGCTGATGCTGATGATAGTGATGACGATGATGGCAACGAAGATCTGCTCACGATGTTGATGATTATGCTGCTCGTTATGATGTTGATGATGCTGACGATCAGGATGATGCTGACACCATTGATGATGTCGGTGATAATGAGGATCATGATGATGCTGAAGATGATGATGGTGCTGATGATGGTGATGATGTTGACGATGCTGATGATGATCAGGCTGATGCTGATGATACTACTGATGCTGCTGCCGCGGATGACGATGACGATGGTGTTGACAGTTGGTGACGCAGATGCAGATGATGATGATTCAGATGCAGATGGTAACGACGGTCACTATGTCACTTTGTCACTTTGCTGATGTCACGATGATGCAGATGCTGCTGATGTCACTATGCTGATGGTACAGATGGTGACGACCGCGACGGTGATGATGATGACGATGATGATGATGCTGATGATGATGATGCTGATGATAATGATGATGCTGATGGTGCTGACGATGATGATGCAATGGTGGCTACGATGGTGCTGCTGCGGCTTATGATGATGATGATTATGATGATGATGATGATGAGGATGACCATGTTGATGGTGGGCATGATGATGACGATGCTGCTGCTGATGACGATGACGATGATGCCGATGAAGATGATGATCATTATGCTGCTGTTGATGATTCGGACGACGACGACGATGATGCTGCTTTTGATGATGATGCAGCTGCTGTTGCTTCTGCTGATGATGACGATGATGATGATGGTGATGCCGATGATGATTTCGGTGACTGCGATTGTGATTATTTTGCTGTTTGTAATGCGATTGATGATTAATTTGATGCTGCTGCTGATGATGATGCTGCGTATGATGATGATGATGATGATGATGATGACGGTGATGATGATGATGACGATGACGATGATGGTGATGATGATGATACTGCTGCTGCTGATGATGATGATGATGCCGATGATGCTGAGGATGCTGCTGCTGATGATGCTGATGATGCTGATGATGATGATGTTGATGATGCTGCTGATGATGATGCTGATGATGATGATGCCGACGACGACGATGATGATGATGATGCAGATGATGATGATGATGATGATGATGATGATGATGATGATGATAATGATGATGATGATGATGATGATGATGATGATGGTGATGATGATTATGATGATGATGATGATGATGACGATCAGGCGATCATGATGATGCTGAAGATGATGATGATGATGATGATGATCATGATGATGATGATAATGATGATGCTGATGATGATGATGATACTGATGATGATTATGATTCTGATGATGATGATGACGATGATTATGATGCTGATGATGATTATGATGATGATGATGCTGCTGCTGATGATGATGCTGCGTATGATGATGATGATGATGATGATGATGATGATGATGATGATGATGATGATGATGCAGATGATGATGATGCCGATGATGATGATGATGATGATGATGATGATGATGATGATGATGATGATGATGATGATGATGATGATGATGATGATGATGATGATGATGATGATGATGATGATGCTTATTTGGATGCATTCCATTATTATGATTAGTTATAGGAGGAGGGGGAGGAAGAGGACGAGGAGGGCGGTGGTGGTGGTGTTGGCGATGGCGGTGGTAGTGAAGAGGTGGGGAGGGATTCCTCCTCCTTCTCCTCCGTCTCTTCCCCTCCTCGCTCCTCGATCCTCGCCGCCTCGCTCCTCGATCCTCCTCTGGAGGTGGATTGGGTGCTGCCCCGGTCGGGGCGGGGTGCACCAGGCGCTGCTGCTGCGGTGCGCGGCGAGCCGGCTCATTCTCTTCACCTCGGGCTACCTGGCGCTGAACCCGGAGCCCCGCCTCTCCCCCCAGACTTGGCGGGAGGAGGAGGAGGAGGAGGAGGAGGAGGAGGAGGATGAGGAGGAGGAGGAGGTCATCGCTCCGCCGCGAGGTCAACGCAAACGGGGGTCAGCCAGAGCGCCCGCTCTTGCAGGATCCTGCAGGGCCCGGGTTTGGGCGCGCGATCCTGCAGGATCTTGCAGGATCCTTCGCGTTGACCCGGGTTTGGGTGCAGGATCTTGCAGGATTTTGCAGGAGTCTGCAAGACCTGGCTGACCCGGGTTTGGACTGACCTGGGTCACAGGATCCCTGATAGACCCGCCTTTGCCTCTTCGCGGGGGGGTCGCAGAGGGGGGGGGTTCTCCCGAAGCGGGGTGCGGGAGCGAGCCCAGCTGGATGCTCAGACCTCCTCCTCCCATGGGCCGTTTGGAGCGACTTCCCGGTTATTGCACCTCTGCCCACGGCCCCACCTTTCTGTCCCCCCCCCTCCTCCTCCTCTTCCTCCTGCTCCTCCTCCTCCTCCTCCTCCTCCTCTATTCTCCTCCTCCTCCTCGTCTATCCTCCTCCTCTTCTTCCTCCTCTTCTTCCTCCTCCTCATCCTCCTCCTCCGTCTCTTCCGATCCTCGCTCCCCGATCCTCGCTCCGCGCGCCTCACGTTTTCTGCCTCCTCCTCCTCCTCCTCCTCCTCCTCCTCCTCTGTCCGCCCGCTCGCCCTCTGGGGGCGGGGGGCCGACTGCTGGGCAGCGCCCTGCGCCGCTGGCGTGCGCAGCCTGGCGCGGCGCCGCTGCGGGGCGCGAGGGCGCATCCGCCGGCCGCCCGCGCAGGCGCGGAGCCCGCGGGCGGCACGTCGTGACCGTTTGGTTTGCCTTCGGCTGGTAGGTCCCTGTCCTCCTCTCGCTCTCCTCCTCGTCCTCCTCGCCCCCTCGTCGTCGTCCTCATCCTCCTCCTCGTGCTCCTCGCCCTCCTCCTCGTCCTCCTCGCCCTCCTGCTGCTGCGCAGCGCTCTGCAACGATCCCTCGTCCGCGCCGCTGCCCCGCGCGCCGACGAGCGCACCGCGGGCGGTGGGCGCGGGCCCCCCCCAGACCTCCAGGAGACCCTGTTTCCGTTTCAGAAGGGGCGCGAAGGGAATGAGGCCACCTGTTCGTCTTACATCCCGAGGCCACCCTGCTCCTCCTCGTCCTCCTCGCCCGCGTCCCCTCTGTCGTCGTCTTTGGCCACTGGAGGCTGATTTCGGGCCCGGGGCCGTCACGCGGGGGTCAAGAGTTCTGGGCGCCCACGCATCGAGCACACCGAAACGCCGGATGTCTGGGATGATGCTGTCCCAGAGGCGTCTGGGGATCAGTGTTGAGCGGGCCGTGGGAAGCAAGGGGTGTTTTCGGTGAATTTCGGGGGGGAATAAGGAGGAAGGAAACGGGGCGGAGCAAGGGGGTGGAGGAGGAGCAAGGGCGCGGAGGAGGAGGACGAGGAGGAGGAGGACGAGGAGGAGGAGGAAGAAGAGGAAGACGAGGAGGAGGAGGAGGAGGAGGAGGAGGAGGAGGAGGAGGAGGAGGAAGGAGGAGGAGGAGGAGGAGGAGGAGGAGGAGGAGGAGGAGGAGGAGGAGGACGAGGACTAGGAGGAGGAGGAGGAGGAGGAGGGAGGGGAGGGAGGAGTCGAGGAGGGGGAGGAGGAGGAGGAGGAGGAGGAGGAGGAGGAGGAGGAGGATCAGGATGATCAGCAGGATCATGAGGAGAGAAGGGAGAGGGGGAGGAGGAGGAGGGGCAGGAGGATGGGCAAGAGGAGGGGGGCCCGCCTGTGGCGCAGCGGCTGGCACGGCAGTACTGGTCAGCACTCCCCGCCGACGCTAGGCGAGCGCTGTCTTTCCGCGGAACGCGTTAGCGTATCACGTTCCGCAGGAGCGTCGTTTTTTTGAGGCGCTTACCTCTCTCCCCACTCGTGTCCATCCCCTGTCTCGACCCTTCCTCCCCTCCTCGCTCCGCCTGTACTCTTTTTGTTTCTTCTTGCTCAGCGAGTGGACTTGAAACCATTGTGGGCAGCGTGCAACGTGGAGTCGGAGTCGGAGGAGGAGGGGGAGGAGGAGGAGGAGGAGGAGGAGGAGGAGGAGGAGGAGGAGGAGGAGGATGAGGAGGAGGAAGAGGAGGAGGAGGAGGAAGAGCGGAAGGAGGGGGATGAGTTTGGAGAGGGAGGATGACGAGGACTAAGAAGATCCGCAAATACCACATGAAGTCTGGATCACTCTTGGGGGCGACCTAAAAGGGAGGAAGAAGGACTGCTGCCTCTCCAGTCTATCTCATCCCATGCACATGACGACGCTACGCTACTGAACCAACGCGGCTGGGGAGTTGGAGAGCTCCGAGACCTTGCCACCTGCAGCTGAGGGAAGGTGCGCTCAAACTTTTGTACGCTATGCTGCCCAGCACGAGGCGGTGAAGTGGAGCAACACTTGCTCGAACCTGTGCTGCTTGAATGTTGTGTGACTCCACTTCAGCTGCATGCCCTCGCCTTGGAGCTTGGCATTGGCGGTGCCAATGGTGTCCTTGGCTTCGCCTGCCAAGGTTACTGTCTTGTCCGTCATCGTGGTGTCTTCCTCGGAGAAGGGAGTGCGCTTGTTCAGGTAGCAGCCGTTGGTGACTTCAATGGTCGCCAGCATGAGGAGCTCGTCAATTGGCCCGTGTACTTGGCCTTGGCGCTCGAGGGTTACCCGGATGACGGTCGTCCTGGGAGAGAGAAGTGCGGACGTCCAGATAGAAACCATTGGTGGCTGCTGTGGTCACCACGCATACCAGCGTGAAGTTCTTGCCGACCTGACGGAGCCCTCCGCCACTCTACTACGACAACTACCCGGTAGACGCCACGGCCGCCGCCAGAACAGTGGTAAATTATGGCGCCCAGCGGCAAACAAGGGGTGCGCTGGGAGCCGCTGCAAAAGCCTGCCCCTCGAGCCCACGGCCGTGGAAATCTTTTCCCCCTCCCGAGGGGAGGGGTTCCACTTGAGCCAAGATGGCTACAGAGATGAGGAAGAGAAGAAGCAGGAGGAGGAGCAGGAGGAGGAGGAGGAGGAGGAGGAGGAGGAGGAGGAGGAGGAGGAGGGGGGGGGGGGAGGATGAGGAGGAGGAGGAGGAGGAGGAGGAGGGAGAGGAGGAGGAGAGAGGAGGAGGAGGAGGAGGAGGAGAGGAGGAGGAGGATGCGGATGAGGGGAGGATGAGGAGAGGGGGGGTAGGAGGAGGAGGACGAGGAGGAGGAGAAGGGGAGGGGGGAGGGGGAGGAGGAGGAGGAGGGGGAGGACGAGGAGGAGGAGGAGGAGGAGGTGGAGGAGGAGGAGTAGGAGTAGGAGGGGAGGAGGAGGAGGAGGAGGAGGAATAGTATGAGAAGCATGATGATGCTGATACTGAAACTGATGCGGCTGATGATGATGCTGCTGCTGCTGATGATGATACCGACGATGGTGATGACGATGAGGGTGGCGGTGCTAATGATGATGCTGCTGATGATGATGATGATGCTGATGCTGCCGCTGATCATTTTTTTGGTGTTTTTTTAAAAACTGAAAGTAATAATAATACCAATGATGGCGGTGATGATGCTGCTGACGCTGATGCTGCTGCTGATGATGATGCTGATGCTGATCATGATCATGATGGTGATGCTGATGCTGCTGCTGATGCTGCTGCTGCTGATCATGATGATGCTGTTGCCGATGATGCTGATCTGATTGTGAAGCTGATGGATATGTTTCTGCTTATGATGATGCTGATGATGCTGATGATGATGATGCTGCGGATGCAGATGACGCTGATGATGATGCTGATGATGCTGATAATGATGATGCTGTTGACGATGATGATGGTGATGCTGATGATGATGGTGACGATGCTGATGATGACGACGATGTTGATGACTATGATGAGGGTGCTGACGATGATGCTGATGCTACTGATGATGACGACGATGATATGATGCTGATTATGCGCATGCTTATGATTTCGATTCTGATCATGAGCATGGTGATGAAGATGAGGAGACGGAAGGGGGACGGGGGTTATGATGATGGCGGTGATGATACCGGCGATGCTGATCATGGTGATGATGATGCTGCTGATCATGAGGAGGATGATGATGATGGTGACGATGATGATGTTCATGCTGATGATGCTGCTGGTGATCATGATGAGGCTGCTGCTGCTGATTATGATGAATCTGATGCTGATGTTGATGATGTTGATGATGATGCTGACGATGCTGATGATGCTGATGATGAGGATGCTGATGCTGATGCTGATTTTGCTGATGATGAAGATGCTTATTATTAGTCTGACGATGCTGCTGATTACGATGATGCTGATTATGATGATGCTGCTGCTGCCGATGATGATGATCCTGATGCTGATGCTGGTGATGATGATGCTGATGATGATGATGATGATGATGCTGATGCTGATGCTGATGCTGATGCTGATACCGATGATGCTGATGCTGATGCTGATACTGATGCTGATGCTGATGCTCATGCTGATGCTGATGATGATGTTGATGCTGCTGCTGCTGCTGATGATGATGTTGATGCTGCTGCTGCTGCTGATGATGATGATGATGATGATGCTGATGATGATGATGATGCTGATGCTGATGCTGATGCTGATGATGATGATGTTGATGCTGCTGCTGATGATGATGATGATGCTGATGATGATGATGATGATGATGATGATGATGATGATGATCAGGCACAGGACGAGGAGAAGGAGGAGGAGGTTCGGGGGGGGCCATTTCTGGTGGAGAGGGATCGCACGGGGTTCTTGTCGCCTGGGTTGCCGAGGAGCCGTGCAAGGCCATCCTCCGGTTCCTGGCGCTGCAGCACCTACCTGCGCTGCCCGTGCTGCCACAGGCGCCGCCGCCGATGCCGGAAACATTTCCTCCTGTCCACGTGGGGAGGAGGGAGGATGGGGCGGAAAGAGGACGGCGGATGTTGAGGATGATCGTGCGCTGGGTGAGGATGATGTGGATGATATTGGCAGTTTTGATGGTGACGGTGCTGGTGATGACGATGGTGGTGATGATTCGGATGTTGATTTGTAATGTTGTGAAGCAGGTTGTCGATCATGATGATGACGCTCTTGATAACGGTTATGATGAACGTCGTGATGGTGATGGTGATGATTATGGTGGTGATGATGATGGTGGTGGTGGTTATGATGGTGGTCGTGATGATGGTGGTCGTGATTAGGATGGTGGTGGTGATGATGGTGATGATGGTGATCGTGATGATGGTGGTGGTGATGATGCTGCCGATGACGATGACGATGACGATGCCGATGACGATGATGATGCTGATGATGCTGATGATGATGATGATGATGATGATGATGATGATGCTGATGATGATGATGATGCGGAGGAGGAGGAGGAGGAGGAGGAGGAGGAGGAGGATCTTGATGATGGTTGTGGGGGGTGTTGAGGTGCGATGAGAGGAGGAGGAGGGAGGAGGGGGAGGAGGAGGAGGAGGAGGGGGGGAGGAGGAGGAGCGAGGAGAGGAGGAGGAGGAGGAGGAGGAGGAGGAGGGAGGAGGAGAGAGGAGGAGGAGGAGGAGGAGGAGGAGGAGAGGGAGGAGGCGGACGACGAGGAGAAGGAGGATGAGGAGGGTGGGGGGGGGGATGGGGGGGAGGATGGCGTCGGGGAGGAGGAGGAGGAGGAGGAGGAGGAGGAGGAGGAGGAGGAGAAGGAGGAGGAGGAGGAGGGGCCCCGGGGCCTCGACCTCGACCGCAAATGTGTGTCTCGGGGGCTGGGCCCGCTCTTCAGGTGACCAAGATCGCTCCCGAGAGGGGTCAGACATCCGTTCAGGAGCCCCTGGACCCCCAAGACGGCCTCCAGGGGTCTCAGACGGCTCTCGAGAGGCTCCAGACGCCCCCAGAGGTGTTCAGAACAACGACAGTGGGCTTCGGGAGTCTCTCCCGGACACCTTCGACAAGCCAACACAATTTCGAATTCCCATGGAAGGTCTGTGACTTTTCCCTTCTTGCCTTTTTGCTTCCGATGGGCTGCTGAGGCCTCAAGGGGGCCCCCAAGAGGCCCGAGACGCCCCCCCAAGCAAACGCCTCAGAGGCCCCAAGAAGCCCGGGAGACGCCCCCAGCGGGGACCCAACATTGCTTCCGAGAGGGGTCAGACAGTCGCCCAGGCGGCCCAGCACGGCCCCGAAGCCCCCCCCGAAGACGGCCTCCAGGGGTCTCAGAAGGCTCTGGAGAGGCTCCAGGCGCCCCAAGAAACGCTCAAGACAGCCCCAGAGGGCCCCAGGGTCCGCCCGCCCGACCTGCCCGTTGGGGCCCGCCCGCCCGACCCGCCCGTCAAGACCCGCCTGCCCGACCCGCCCGTTCGGGTCCGCTCGTCCGCG